AGTAACACATACCCCAAAACCCCAAAACCCCATGATATCAAAATTAGTAGTTGAAGAGTTGATGATAAATTTGAATTTATAATTTGAAGTAAAAGAAATATAACAAAGATAATTGAACTTACTAAATCGAAAACAATATGGCAGATTCTTGTATCATTTCAAAAGAGCAACTCTCTTAGAAAGAGCTTATGCTAAAATCTAAATTATATGGAGCAGCCCCTTTAGCTTCCACCTTTGGTTCCCGAAATAGACAAACCGCTCAAAGTTAGAGTGAATGGAGAAAACCTAATTTATATGCAGAGAAAACACTATCCTCATCCCCTTAAAAAATTGTTGAGCATCATAAAACACAGCTGAAGCAAGTAACAGATGTGAAAATGGATACATTTTTAGATGAAATGAGATAATAATTTATGCAGACTCAGAATTAACAAGCTATTCCATAGTCACTTTTGTATCAATAGACAAGAATGATGGAAAAGTAGGTAGCTATGCTTGAACAAAGCTAGAAGTCAATGAGTGAAGTTATCAATAATGTTATGAATCAAGGAGCGACTGGAGTGAATAGTGCAAGCAGTCTGAAGCAGTAAGTATTTAACGAGAACAGAAGAATGCTGCTAGAGATGATGGCTCCACTAAGTCAGTAGTTAAATGAGATGAAACTCTTATATGAGAGTACCAAATCTTGCTCCAGTGATGTCGGCTCTAAAATAGATGAACTAAAGAGAGTCCTCGCCAATCAATCTGATAATTTAAATGGACCGAGAGGATACCCTATGATGACTTAGTAGTTCAATCCATATTAATAGCTTGACCTCTTAGATCCAGGCATCATGAGGAAGGGTATAGAGGACATTAAGGAACAAATGCGTGATGCTTAAAGAGAAGCCCATCTTATTGAAAATGATTTACAATAGAGATTTACTCAAATGACAATGAAAAATATGCAGTAAAGGTATCTCCCTCAGTCTATTACAGAAGAATTTAGCAGCTTTTAGCATTAGTTGAAGGAGAAGACTTTGGCTGACTAGCTCCATTCTTTTCCTACAATGACTTAGACAAAGGAAGCAGTATTAGCTAAACTTGGGGGTTACTTCGACTATCCTCTGTGCCTCGAAGAACTCAGACAAATAATGTCTGAGAAGGATATTATTGATAGAGAGTTTAAATCTTAAGCTTTAATACCTCCTGATTTCAAAGATAAGGCGTTTGGTAAAGTTCCACCTTACGATTTCTCCACAAATTCAATCTTTATTAAAGATCCAATTAAGGATCAAGAATGGAGAGAAAAGTAATCTCTAGAGAAGCCAAACTACCTGTAAAATCTAGTCCTCACTGAACCTAAGTACTTCCTAGATTATGATGAATACAAATAGAACTACTAGCAAGAAGTTGGCTAAAATTTGGTTAAAAAGACTGTTACAGAGTACTATCCTACTACTGCTTAGAGAAAGTCAAATGCCACTGGTATAGGGAGTGGTGTAAATAATAAGCAAGGAGGTAGATAAACTATTAATTAGAAGTAAGCACCCAGCAAAGTTTAGAAAAGATCATATGCTAACGATGCAAGTGATAAATCATATGACTCTAAACATAGTACTCCCTAATCGTCTGGAAAGAAAAAGACAGGTAGACCTAAGAAGGACTTAAACGAGATAAAGAAAATGGATATTTTATCACTTAAGAAACAAGTCATTGAGGAGATTAAAAGTGAGATGGAGCTGAACAAAAACCCTAATAACAATCCTAGAAACTAAGCTAATCTAGAGTCAGATAAAACAAGGGAACTTGAGCAATAGAAAAAAGACTTTAAATAATTCGAAGGAGTTTAAATGAAAGGGCTTAAAGATGTCATAGATGAGGAAGTAGATAAGTAAAGTCAGATTTTGAATTAATTCAAGAGAGATAATGGACTTGGTAATAATCTAAGGCAAAGCACATAATCGATTTCATCCTAGCAGCAACCTTAATTGTCCTAGTCTCTTTTAGAAAATGCCTTAGCAGATATAATGCTATCAGAGCTAAATAAGGATTAGGTTTCTGCGTCTCAAGATCCTCAGATCAAGCAGATTGGTGAACAGATGATGATTGATAAGATCAATAGTATTTTCGATGAAATAGCTAGAGAGAACGATCACTTTCAGAATTAGCAGCCATAACCTACTTACTAGTAATAGCCTATGGTTCAACAGTAAACACTTCCTACTGTTTCTAATCAAACTTAGGTACTCTCATAATAGCAACCAGTAGTCATCCCAATAGTGATAAATCAAAGTAACAACTAATAAACACACGCAAATTCAGGGTCAAATCCCTCAGACTAGATCTTTAAGAATCCAAATCAACTCAGAGATATGCTCTCACAGGTGATATCAGCATAGTTAGGAATGCATAACATTAGAAAGGACAAGGAAAAGGACTTAGACTTGTTTAGGGAGAGTGTTATTAGCAACGATCCTATGAACTAGACTTCTCGAACTATGCAGGAAGAGGAGGCTAAACTCAAAGCTGAACAATAGGAATTAAGAAAATAGACTTTTATTAATGTTCAGCCATACATTTAGCAAACACTAAATATGGGATATCAGAATCCTTTTGCCTTTTCAAATGGGTTGAATCTTCCTAAAGCTAATAGCATCAATAATTTTGGACTGCAGCAGCCGTTGATAAATGATTTGGATTAATTTAACATGACCAGTGAATCCTCTGATTTCTTAAGTTTGGAAAGCAGTTAGTTCTCTGCTGGCAAAGATTTTTTCAAGAGTGTATCAGAGTAAAAAGGTAGATCTAGAAGCAAGCATGGTCCAGGTGCCAGATACTCAAATTTAAGTCATGGCGATAGATCAGAGGGAGAGGTAGGAGCTGTAGAGCAATCAGATGATGATATAAGTGTTGGAGAAATTAGATACCCTGGTTCAACTCTCAGATAGAGTCAACAAAAGCCTTCCAGTGGAATGGGTTTGAATATGGGAGTCAGTTCAAGCATCAATAGACAAATGATTCCACCATCTGTCAATAAATAAGGATAAAGAACAGGCTAGAGCAATGTCCCTGCTGAAATAAGAAAATTAGGAGAGACTATTGACTATGAGGATGACAAATTCTCACCAGAGAAGGATGATGAAAAACCAATTATGGATTCATCTGACGGACCAATTGCTAAGCCTAAGTAAAGATTTGGCTAAGGTAGAGGTGGAGCAGTCACCAACACTGGCAAGAGCGGTTCAGGCAATCCAATTTATGGGGGAAGTTTTGGACTGAATCCCTACAAATTGGCTAGAGGTGGTATGAATTAGCAGCAAAATGAAAGTGTGAAGCCTATGTCAAGCATGGGGAATAGAATGCAAATCCAAGATAACTTCCTTGAAGAAGATGAAGATGAGCTAGGCAGCATTAGAGCTTCAAAAGAATCAGGAGAAATTGACCCCTCTATGTGGAAATGACCTTCTTGAATCCGATCATTAGCCTAGTTGCTTTCTCAAAGCTATTATGATTAATTTAGATTTAAAACTTAATGATTAAAATAAGTCATATTCTTAAGAAAGTGCAGACAATATATCTTTTGAGATTTTTTACAATGAATACTTAACATTGAACCAATTAAACAGAGCAATTAATCATTAAGGTTGACCTCCAGCAGCGGCTTGTTGTTGTTGCATGGCAATTCTTCTGAAGTCTTCCTACAGCTTCATGACATTCTTTCTCTTCTCCTCGATCTTTGACTTGAAATCAACTTCTAATTTATCCATTCTCTCGATCTCTCTAGTAATGAACTCTATTCTCTTCTCTACATTACTCTTTGCCTCGGGTAAGTCTTATTTGGCTAGAAGTGGTCCTACTAGTTTGTACACTGTAGCCTCACCGTCCATTAAGTTGAACTCTGATAGAACCATTTCATTCTCATTCTTTTTCTCAATCAAAGTCTATCTAGCTCCATATACCTTAGTGAATTCTATATACAAAAATAAACACTTAGGATTGCTAATTCCTACCGGCTTCGATCTTCTTGATTTCAGCGACGTCTGCTTCTAAAGCCTTTTAGATTTCACCTAATTTTCCGGGGAGAGGGGGTTAAGTTGCCATTATATATAATAATTAAATTTAAATTATAAAGTTTAAAAGTCAGAATGAGGCAAATAATCAATAATTTTAAATAACTAATTTAAATGAACGAGAAAAAGATCAGAATTGAAGCCTACAACATGAATGAAGGTAACTCCTTAATGAAATAATAATGCAATGTAATATAGACATGAAGCTAAGAGCAATAGACTTTGTGATGTCATAGGATAAAAGCAAGACCATGGAATTGGAGCTGGCTAAGAAACTCAAAACCGAATTTGACAGTAAATATCACCCTACCTGGCAATGCATTGTTGGTATGTGTTTAAGAGTTATATAAAATGATTATGAAGTTCTTCAAAATTAAACCTATTTTACATTTATTTTCTAGGTAAAAACTTTGGAAGTGATATTGGATTCGAGGATAAACATATGATATACTTTTACCTTGGCTCCACAGCTATTTTACTCTGGAAAGCTGGATGATTAACATTAACAAAAAGTGATTATTTTAATGTTCTTTCCATTGTAAAGTGCTTAAAATTATACATATGTTAACAAATAAATTTATTTCACTCTCTGTAGAGAATATATGTATTTGTAACTCTCGGGGTTTTGGGGTTTTGGGG